CTCTTTAACAAAACTCCAACTCATTATTAGTGAAAATGCTTGATTTTATTTCCACTTTGCTTTTTTATCATGATCTTCAATTCCTTAAATGTAGTAAAGTTAATAAACGGACCTTCAATATATGTGGTGGGCCATGAAAAGTACAATGCACATATTGGTGCTGATTGAAAAAGTCGACCTAATTCTAGAGTAAAGTCATTGTTGTTCAACATCAAAGTTTTGAATTTTAGAACATAATTTGAAGATTGAAGTTCTGATTTAGATTTGAAAAACTATGAAGTTTTTCCTAATTCATGATTTTGGAAATTTTTATTTAAATTTATGTTGGAGATTTTAAAATTTAGGGGTTTTATTTGAGGATTTAAGTTTCGAAGTTTTGAGGTTTTAAATTTATTCATTTGTGAATTGAAATTCATTGTTTTAAGGGTTTAAAATTCATCGATTTGGGGTTTTGAAATTCATTAATTTAAGGTTTTGCAATTCATTATTTAATGGCTTAAAATTCAATAATTTAGGGGTTTGGAATTCATTTAATTGGGGGTTTGGAATTCATTTAGTTAATTGATTGAAATTCATTAATTCGGGGGTTGGGAATTCATGGATCTTGGGATTTAAAATTTTCATCATCTGGGTAAACCTGAACACTTTAGAATGGAAAGTCATATGGACTCACATCCAATATAAGAGGCGAATACGATGAATAAATCAAGATAAAAAAACTACATAGATTTACATCTAATTAGGAGCTAATCAGAGGAGAAGTTCTAATCTAGTAAACATGTAGATCTTAGGATAGAAAGAACGGTGAGTCACATTCAAACCAAGAGTGAACATAATGATTAGTTTGAATAGACAGACTTTGTGGAGTTGTATATAAACATGAAAATTAATCGAAACTTGAAGATTATCTGTGGGCAGTGGGTCTTCAAGGGGTCCACTACATGTATCCAATGATTAATACTAACGAGCAGTATTTACTCAGCAAAAGCATTAAACTGTTGAATCAAACATGGTGGAATAGGATCAATGAACCAGAAAGGAGATGAACTTAATTATCATTTTATCTATTTTTAAATGTCTTAACCTGGAAAGGTTTCTAAGAGGCTAGTCCCAGAACTTAGTTTTTAGCCAAGGCATTGTTCTGCAGAATCCGGTAGTTAAGAATATTAATGAACCTGGGGAAACTTCTGGATGGTACAACAAAGGGCGTACTTCACCACCGAGGAAACAAGCAGGCCCAAGACGTTTAGTCCACACTAATCATGGACATGACACTCCTAATTTTCTAGTAATTATGATTAAGAGTTAAAGTAACGCGTTGATCTAGCACTAGAGCCATAACAAAGACACTAGATTTCGTCTAGACGGATGTACTCAAGAATTAGCAAACCAAAGAAAGGTAAAAATAATTGGTGTTTGTTAGCTTACATCGAGTAAGGATTTGTTAAGGGACATATTCTTGGTCAGACTTACTAAGCCACTTTCATTAACCTACACAACCAGCCGTGGTTTACTAAGCCACTTTCATTAACCTACACAACCAGCCGCGGTTGGCCCGAGGTTAATGAATCTGATCACAATATGATGGCGACAAAATGGGATTGCTCCAATGCTTCCTTCAAGTATATCGGCTCCAAACTAACAACCTCGACAACATATTGTTAGTTTCTGGGGGGATTTTAAGCACTCATAATAGAAATAAACATATTGTTAGTTTCAGGGGGGATTTTAAGCACTCATAATGGAAATAACTAACTTTAAAAATCTCTCTACCTACATTGTACGACTGGTGTTCTTTCTTCATCTTGATCTAAAAAACTTCTGTTAACAATAATTGTTGTCCGTCCACAATAGCTTCTCGATATAAAGAACTCTGTATAGTAACTGAATACGATTAATTTCTGCTTCTCTTATTCATCAGTTCTTTCTTACTGATTCTTGAATAAGATTGTTGTAACTATGAAGGGCATAATTTTTTTTAGATAATACCACGTGTTAATTTACTCGATAATGACACAATTATCATCATACAAAATGAACTTAAACCTAACTCAAATAGTCGTAATGGTAAATGAACTGATTCTGAATAAAAACACAAAAGTTTGATTTGAGCTCAAGCTCGAATTTTTAAAAAAAGCTCAAACTTGAATGCAACCCCAAAAGTTCAATATGAGTTCAAGATCGAATCTGTCCAAATTTTATAAACAAGCTCAAGCTTGAAAAGAGTTATGCTTGTCTTCATTTGCAACCCTATACTTCTCTCAAAGAGGAGACTTTATCTACTAAAAAAATAATGAGGCATCATTATCATTTTTTGTGAAAATTTTCAAAATAATATTCTAACTCAATTGATCATAAAAAATTCAAATCTTATCATACGCTCGAGTCCTTAAAACATGTGATGCGATATATTTAGATTGTCGATCAAAGATATCATCCACAATGACATTCACTAGTCCATGCGTACAAGACTATCGGCAGATACCTAAGTTCAAACTAATTGATCAAGTTAGCATAAACGCACCATCATTTGATCACAATTTAATCATAGAAGGCTATTATTTCACAATCAATTATCATACATATGAGGAATATTGGGCATATATTTTAAAATTACATTTTAAAAACTATAAATAATAACCTACCATGTAATTTCTTCATGAAAGCTATTAGTGTCATATAGCCTTTTAATCAGACCCTCAAAGAAATGTGAAAAGAAACAAGAAGCATTGTCATATACCATTTTTCAAAATAGTACATGTTACCCTTTGTTTTTCTCTTTTTAACCTTTTTAGCTATTCTGCAAAATAATTATATTAAAATGTGTCATTTCTCCCCATTTTAGTATAGTTAAATGGGTCCTTGTTGGTGCCATTTGGCCATATTGGCAATGCCAAAAGTAGGCCCTACAGTATCAGTGCTGTTGCCGATGCCATTTAAGAGTTTGTGCAATCAAACGAATTCTTAATTGAATCTCTAAACTTATATATATATATATATATA